TTGAATTCAGCACATCAAAATACATAATAAATAGCACATTTTATCTCTGAAGCAAACGACTTCTCAATAATTGTAGACTGGTGTAATTATTCCTCTTATCTGCAGCATATGGCTTTGTTACAATATGTAGCACGGCCTCTTGGTTGGGAAAGTCTTATTCCAATAACATGGAAATATAATTCAAAACATTTTAAATATCTTAGCTACTCTGCCTTTCTATAGTATCTTCCATTGGAGGATCTCAGTCTTTACAAACATTAATGTCTTAAGCTTCCCAACATCAGTGTGTGGTAAATAAACTTGGTTATCCCCATTTTACAGAGGAAGGAACAGAGGATCAGAAAGGCTAACTTTTCTTTTCCAGTGTCACATGCAGTATGTAGCAGAGCAAATAATTGAATCCATTTCTCCTTTTTGCCCTAATTGTGCATATCTCCTTTTAGGACTTACATAGAAGTGATGCATGTGAATTGACATCAGGATATGGCGTTACATATGCCATATACAGAAATCTTTACCTAGCACTTCACACAGGGAGGAAGTATATTATTAGTTAATAGTTTGCTGGTCCTGGACTCAGGTGATCTGGGTCATAATTTTTGCTCTGCCACTGACATGCTTTGGCCATGGGCAAGCCACTCAACCTCTCTGTTCTTCAGTTTTCCATTTCTAAAAAGTGGAGATGATACTTGCATTCTTTTTTAAAATTTTTTGAGCTTTACAGATGAAAATATGTGCTAGGTGTTATTTCATTATTCCCAATTAAATGCACTAATCTTTAGGGCAGAATGTGGCAACTATTTAACAGTTCACAATATTATGCTCACAGCATACACACAGAAGTTAGATACAAATACAAAGTATTCCTCCTGGAAGGTTGCTACATAACACTACTTTATTTGTTAGAATTCAGAATAACACACAGGAACCCCAAAACAGAGAGAGACAAAGCAGGCTGCTCCCTAACAGAGAGAGGCACAACTCACTCCACCTTGTTTTGGTTTTTTTCCCCCATATTACATGCTTCATCACAGAGCCCCCTAGCCTTCAGGCAAGACCAGGAATACTACCCCCCCCCTTCCCCTG